TAGACTATATATAAACAAGTGTCTGTGCCAGTTAAAGGTTTTCTGGGATTATTAGGGACTTCCTCAAACCAACATTAATGAACTCTGATATAGTCATAGATTTTATAACTACTATAAAATCGGTTTTTTTAAATATCAGCCATAAAAATTAAAAGACTGGTAGAAGTCTTAATTTTGTCTCTAAATTTCTGTGCAATTCTAAGTAAGTTGCATAAGCCTACTAGGGCCAATTTTCATCTCCATATGGTGAAATTCTTATCAACCCTTAGGGTGGTCTGGGTAGTGTTTATCCAATTTGTTAAAAAGTCAATGTAGAGTGAATGTATTGTGTAAAGTATCTTGAAATGTTGCCACAAACTGGAGCTGGCAGGTTTGAGGGTGCTGTTCCAGTTTTTCCATCCATCTTCAGTCTCCCTTTACCTGCAGCCTGAAGATTATTCTGTAGTGTTGGTTTATGTTTTTCTGCCAAATTGCTAGCAAATCCGCTCTTCTAATTTTAAAAAAAAAGTCAAATGTTCAAATGCAAAGAAAAGGTAACAATCTGAAGGAAATTAAAACCCATGACTCAAAACATTCCTCGGGTCCCTGAGATATCCGTTTCTATCATTCTATCATCTCTGCTCTCTCTCTACTGAAAGCCCTACCCCCCCCCCCCCAACTCTCAACATCCCATGATGCCCTTACTACCTAGTACTTCAAACTTCTGGTATCTCATGAAAAGTAGTTGCCACGAAAGAATCATTAGTTGCAAGATCCTAAATCATAAAAGTGTAGGATTAAAAAGAAAAGCCCATCTGTCACATCCAGTAACTCAGAGTTAAGATTCTTTAGTCCATGATATGACGCTAACTAGCGATGTGAACTTTACTTGCAAAGCAAGCAGAGAGCCGAGCTCAGAGAGAACACCCTCCAGAGCCTTTGCATTCTTAGTGCTCGTGGTTCCCCGTTCACGTCACTGTCTGAATGTTAATGCAGAGGAATAAAAATGTGCACAGAAGATCCAATACCTTTAGTGAATTTTGATTGCTGTTTTCTACTCCTCGGGGCGGGGGGGATAAAAGAACTTATTAAACGAGATGCAGAGTCACATAGTTCAAGCTACTGACTGTTTGTTCATAAAACAAAATGCTTAATCTGCAGAAATTTCAGTGAGAGGAGATGTCAGGTCTCCAAAAACCACTATTATCAAACAAAGCAGCCAGAAAATGAATGCACTTGAGAAGACTGTGACCATACTCTTGGCTGTCAGCCAGCATTCTTCATTTCTCTTGGTAGGAGCATGCTTTAGCACGTCTTTTTGTGCACACAAAGCCAATATACATGCCTTAGTTCTTTGACAAAACTTTCTTCCCTTCTTTCTAGAGCATTGCTTTAACTTTCCAACGAGCATTTTACAAACATTTGCTGACCCCAGCGTTTCAGGAAGAAACGCTACAAACAAATGGTTATCAGCACTAATCAGGATAGTTTTGTTACTCGTGAAGAGAAATGGGCCATCTACAGACCCGTGAACGTGATTGTCCCCCATCCAAATCAAGGTGTTCTCTCCAAGCACACAACAACCCTGCCGATGACCTTCTACTATATCCTCCTGAGGCAGCACCTTATCGCAGACATTTTCGAGGGAGAATCTCTGTGTCTATGTGAATGGTTCCATCACCCTTTCCTTCTAGGGTTGCAGAAATCAAAACATCCCACTGAATGTGTATAGTTTGTGTGTCTCATCAACACAAGACACAATAGCAAATTTCAAATGATTGAGGGATTGGATGTTTCAGGCTGTCCTACATTCTGGTTCGTTGAACATGGCCACTCTTTATAAATTACCGGGTCATAAATAATAGGCCAAAACACTTTCACGGTGGGAACTTCCTTTGTATTAATCAATAAAATGAACACCCAAGAGTTTAATAACAAAATCATATACCTTTTTGGACAGTTGATATTTTGTTTAGATGCATCATGACTAATAGTAATGACTGTAATTCATCACATTAGAAAAGTAATCAACAGTGCTAGCCATACCAAATTAAAATTGATTGAGACCTCACATGACCCTGGCAGAAGCTAATAATTACATCATTTTTACATAGCCAATAGTAAATAGCCAAAACACTGGTTTTTTTTTTCCTTTTGGTTCATGAACTCTATTATATAAAAGCTAACGTAAAAAAACCTAAGCAAAATAGTTTAGAACAAAATAATGTTGATTTTGTTTTCTGAGTAATTTCACAAGAAAATTATTGCCACCTGCTTTGTCATTTTCTTTTCTATCTCCTTTAGGCCAGGCACCACACTGATGCTCTGCACATTTGATCCATTTTATCCCCATTCTATCCATGAAGGCTTGCTGGCACCAGCCTCATACCATAGGAGAACTGAACATCCCCCCAGGATCCCAGAGCAAGAGCCAAGACTCAAACCCAAGTCCATCTGAAACAATGTCCAGTGTATCCATCCTAATCAGGGAGTCTGAACAATAAGACTGGATTTGGTGAGGGACCAGAGGGTCTCAGAGGAGGGTTCCCCTACAGCCACAACTCTTCGCTCAGAGGATGTTGTCAATGGTGTGGAAGGGACACACAGGTGGTAAATGAAGAGTCGTTTCCCACAAACAGCATCCCTGACATCATTTATGTTCACCTTCCAAAAACAAAGCAATAACAACAACGCACTCTGATGACCTTGCATAGACAAGTGACAAGTATCCTCACTGAAGCCTGTGAAGTTACGGGCAAATAGCACTCAGAGTCTTATCAAGCTAGGAATACAGTTCAGGGGCAGAGCACATGCCAGGCAAGCATGAGGACCCAAGTTTGGATCCCAACCACCCATGCAAAAATCTGAGCATGACAACAAGAGGGAGGAGCAGGATGGAGACAGACAGATCAGGACCTCACTGGCCATCAGTCTAGCAGGTTGGAGACAGACAGATCCTGGTCCTCACTGGCCATCAGTCTAGCGGGATGAAGACAGACAGATCCTGGGTCTCACTGGACATCAGTCTAGAAGGATAAAGACAGACAGATTCAGGGTCTCACTGGCCACCAGTCTAGCAGGATAAAGACAGACAGATCCTGATTCTCACTGGACATCAGTCTAGAAGGATGAAGACAGACAGATTCAGAGTCTCACTTGCCATCCTGTCTGGCTGAAATGGCAAGTTCTCAGTTCGGTAAGAGACCTGTCTCAAAACATTAAGGAAGTTGTCAGCTTTTGGCCTTTGTGGACCAGACAGTAGGCAAGGAGAGAGAGAGAGAGAGAGAGAGAGAGAGAGAGAGAGAGAGAGAGAGAGAGAG